GGAAAGTGAGAAACAGGTTTTTCATGTCCTGACAGACAGGGAAAATTACTTTGCTATGAAATTATGGTTTTGCATAAACAAGTATCGGGAAGCCACAGTTCAGGTTTTGAATATTGAAGATCTTAAGTTGAATAATCACTATAAGTTGGCTCCATTGCATCTATCGTTGCCTGAAGAATTTCGTGTTTCTTTTCTTAGAGTTGATAAACTCTCTAGTTATCAGATTAAAACGGAGTACCTATCAATATTTTCACATTCCCATTATCTCCTTCCTAAGATATTTCCGACTTTGAAGAAAGTTGTGGTTCTGGATGATGACATCCTCGCTCAAAGGGACTTATCAGACCTTTGGAGTCTTGACATGGGTGGCAAAGTGAATGGTGCTGTGCAGTTCTGCGCGGTGAAGTTGGGGCAGCTGAAAAAATATTTGCCTAGGAACAGTATCTCTGAAAATTCTTGTGCTTGGATGTCTGGAGTAAATATTATTGATCTATCCAGATGGAGGGAACATAATCTTACAGAAACATTCCAGAGGTTGGTGCAAGAGGTGAGTGATCTCTGTTTCAGTTTACACGTTTCTTTTTCAGGTTATTCTTTGTGTTTTCAATTTTTGACGTTTAGCTTATAAAAGAAATGATAGTTGCTGGGCAGTACAAAGACCGTTACGTGCTCAAGTAGTTAAGGGACTGTCCAATCATAAGTTTCCCATTGTCCCATTATAAGTTTGCTGGCTTGAATCCTAACAGCATATATCATGCATAACTTTCCTATATTACAATTTAACAGGGGCTGCAAGATTTCACAAAATAGATCGCTTTCGAATGAAAAGCACCAAATGCAATTGAGATAAATAGAAACAGACAGTAAAGTAAAGTAAAGAAGAGCAAAACTAAACATCATTCTGGCTTTCAATTTATTCTTGATCATAGTTCCTGTAGCACAGTTAGGGCTGGGTGTGGGTTGGGTTGGATTTGTTTCTAGTCCAACCCCAACATGTTCGATTTGACAATAATTCAAACCGAAACCAACTCATTCACAGTTGAAACCCAACCCAATCCAAACCGATCAAACTCGGGTTGGTTTGGATTGGGTTGATTGGTTTGGACTTGAGTCCAATTCAAGTTGGACAATTTTTTTATGGACCCAATGGTTGGGACCTTTTTCGTTGAATTCGAACAATTTTTTTAAAGTTTGATACAATTTCAATTTGGACCAATTTTTATTACATTAAAAAGAATGATTTGAAAGGCATTAAGTCGATTGAAGTTGGATCAATGGTTCGTGAGATTAAATTTCATTCCAATAGAACAATATAAATT